GGAGGCCTTGCTATAGTTCATTTTGTAAAACATAAATCCAGAAGAAGTAAGTCTATTCACCCCAGTGATGAAGTAGCTGAGAGTGAAGAGTGGCGATTTAAAGACAGAATGACTGTGCATATTACATATAGAGCTTGTCTTTAGGGCCACACCACTTGGAAAAGATATGGCATGCAAAAACAGACAGCAAAGTAAGATGCTCCTTCAAAACTTTAATTTGCTCATTTCTAAGCTCCATTTCCTGCAAGGAACATATGTCCTACAATTGCGGGTAAACAGTGGGGCTGGGAAACATTGAAAAAAATCTTACATTTCTCCAAAATTATTCTCGCCATTCTAGACCCACTTAATTAAGGAAATTAAGGAAGCAATTCTCTATCTTCTCTGAAAATCTGTATTCTAATATTGAAAAGGCAGTTAGAAAAAGAATATGGAGAGAAAACATAGAAAACGAACAGGAATCCCAGGGCCTGTAACATCCTCATATAAAGAGTCTTCCAGTATTACACACAAAGAATTCTACAGGTAATGCAATTAGTTGTCTGAAGATCAATAAATTATTCACTTATGTCTGCTCTGGCTTTCCCCATCCTTATCACCTTCTCCCAACCCCGATCAAAATGTCTTCATTGTTGTTCACTAAGAAAGAGTCCTTAAGGTAAGAAGTTGAATCTGAAAAACACTATGACCTTGATCCTTAAACTTTTTTTTTTTTTGATCCTTAAACTTAAGAAAAACATACTTTGAGAAAAATTCTACTTTGCAATCCACATCACCTAGCCTCTCCCTTGATTTTTTTTTTTTTTTCTCCCTTGATTTTTACTAGATGGCATCTTCCAGGAAAAAAGTGATAGTACTGCACCCTTAAAGCCCTAGCTTTCCTAAAGACCAGATAAGCCTCCTAATTACTACCTTCACTCAAAGATGCTACAACCTGCACATCCCCAAAAACTACTAGGGAAAAACAGCATCTTTGAATGTTAGGGAAGGAAAGATGAGCCCATCAACCCTCTAAGATTCAGCCATTTAGTTACTCCGAGTTTGAAGTATGACAAGGATGTGCTCTTAGGTGAAACTGTCCCCTGCTGGGACCAGCATCAGTCTTATCTCCTTCAGCTTCACAGTGGTGTCACTTAAAGTAGACCACTCAACTGGAGAACAAATTCTTCCTATTTCTGCTCTTATCTGTTGTGTCATTTTCAGCAAGGTACGGAGTATCTCTGGACCAGTTTCATCAGATATAAAATGAGGTGTAGAACTAGAATTAAACAAAAAGTATAAAAGAACATTATCCAAATCACTGTTATTATTTCCCATGTACTTTAGTGACTCTTGGAATCTGTCTCACTTTAAGGTAGACTCTGCCTCACTTCGATTTAGATCATAATAAAATGAGTCCAGCAAAAGATGGTATGGCCAGAGAACTGTGGTTGTATATCCAGATTATGGAGAAAAAGGTTTGCCTCCATTGTGCAATCTCTCCCTCTGTATTTTAAAAACATACTCAATATAAATGAAAGGTCAGAGGTGAATGTATTGTGCTTCAAGTAAGTTTTGAACATAGATGCCATCTAGTCTTTGCATTCTGCAAAATTCTTCTTTAAGTGAATAAATGTGTAGGGTAACTCTCCATTACCTTGATCAGCATCTAATACCAACCTGACACTTAGAATTAAATTAGAGAAAACAAAATTGGATACTTTGAGACTTGAGGGCTGATTATACTACAAGAGCTAAGACTGGACTTAAACTCTTTCCTTATCCCATTTAAATCTAACTAGATATAAACTCTCCATTACTGAGGAATAGAGGTGTGTCTACAGAGGTGGAGGTTTCCCCTTGATGTTCTTGGACAAGGAAACCTAATCCTTTCTTCTGACACACATGGTTGCAATAGAAAGCCTTCCCCAACTGCCAGTCTGGTTTTAATCTATTGTTTCAAGCAAGATGGGATTTGCGGGGAATGTTAAGGAAAGAGCAAAATTACCAGAACTTACTATAAAAGTGTTGATGAGAAATCAAATTTTAAACAAGCTTTCAAAATTGTAAGCATGAACATATGTAGACATACAGTGCACACTACAAGTATTAAGACAGTAAAAGGTTTTAATTGTAAGTATATCTAAAGTCTGCTTTTAATACATTTATATCTCATTTTACTAAAGCTCTTTGGCTTACCAAATGATAGTCGTGGTAAAATAATGCCAATAAATATAGTGGCACCTCATTTAAAAAACACTGTTGCACAATGAAATACTCTATAAGAGAACTTCCCATGTAACCAAACCAACCGGCCTTATACAAACCTTTAAAATGTTAACCATTTTACATGGAAACTTTTCCAAAAGTTACAAATTTTTCCTTAAAAGAGACACTGAATAACAAATCTTTCCCTGAAGACTCAGGGTTAAGGTTTAAAATGCTTATTAAAATATGCTGAATATACTGCACTTCTTAGAACAGCAGAAGATGGTGAGCTTTCTGGAGACACTTTCACCAACACCAAAAGGTTTCAGAACGCCATTGTGAAAGTGTAAAAGCAGACAAAATTAGCTTGCTTTCACTAGTGTCTTTTCTGCTGTCAGTTGTCCCTTCCATCTAAAGGTGTATCAACCTGTCAATTATTTGCTTGCCCACTTTGTCAAACTAAAATTTAGATTTAAAAGATGTGCCTACTCTGTGCAAGGTACTATATACTAGATACTGAGGAAATTTAAGAAATACAAAAGGAATCACCACGCTGGTTAAGTGACCTCTGTTACCAGGTCACCACTCTGGTGGGAAACACAGTTTATTCTATGTTTGAAAATAACTTTTTTTTTTTGAGGAATAGTTGATTTATAATGTTAATTTCAGAAGTACAGCAAAACGGTTCAGATATATATATGCGTGTATATATTCTATGCTCATGCGTATATGATATATATATATATATATATATATATATATATATAATGTATACTAGTTGCTCAGTCGTGTCTGCAACCCCATGGACTGTAGTCTCAGGCTTCTCTGTCCATGGAATTCTCCAAGCAAAAATAACTGGAGTGGGTTGCCATTCCCTTCTCCAAGGGATCTTCCCAACTCAGGGACTGAAGCCGGGTCTCCTGCATTGCAGGCATGGGAAGCCCGCCCACACACACACACACACTTTTTAGAAGACTTTTTTCCCCTTGTAGTTATTACAAAAGATTCAGCACCCTGCACTATACAGTAGGTCCTTAAGAAAATAACTTACTTTTAAAAATATATATACTTTAGTGATTACACTGCTGCTGTCCTGACAGACCTTCTTCACTGGAAGCGTGTCTTGGAAATATGTCCCATGAAAATATCATCAGTCATGTTGAGTCTCCAGGGATAAAAGACTAAACTTAACTGCTTGAGGAAGTAGAGTGGGCAGGTTCTGTGACAGCCAAAACCTTCCTCTTCAATTGTTAGGCATTATCTTACAATTCAGATGGCTGAGGAAGTCAGAAGTCTAATTTTACTAATTCCTAGGCTCATTAAATCTAATTAATAATACCAATAAAAAAAACCTGTGTTTTAGAATGTTAATGCTTCACTGTACACATTAGTATAAAACACCAAGGCATTTATAAAACTGCACGTTTATAAGTTTACATCTTTATAAGAATCAATCATCACTTCTACTGGCAAGGTCTCTTTCCTGGGTTTCAGTAATATCACATTTGGGGGACTTTAAAACATATTTTGGCAACTCCTTTCAATTTCTATCATCTGACTACTTTTATTCCACAAACTCTACCTCCTAGTCTCAAAGGTTTCCTTGGATTCAATTACCATCTGTTTTGTAGCTCAGACCTCTTTCCTGAGGTCCAGACCTATCTATCTAATTGGTGCCATATTTGCAAGTACTACAAGCACCTCATATTTAACAGAGACAACCAAACAGATTAGTTCTGTCGAAGAATGAGACTTGATTTCCTTAGTGTTTTTGTTTGTTCTTTTTGCCCTCATTCCTATGATTCCTTCTCTGCTTATTTCTGAATTACATTAATTATGCTTGAACTTCACCAGTACTCTGTACCTTTCTTAGATTTTTACTGTATGATTTTAGTTGAATAGTTTTGTCTTTGTTAGATTTCAGTTCCATTAAGTGTATCGGTATCTTTTTATCTCCTGCATTTATCTCCTACCTCTCCCTAATGAATAAATACAACAAAACACATAAAGGAATTCTAACAAATCTTTCCCAATTATATTTTTACTGACAGATTTTTGGGAGCATTAACAGAGGTAGGAGGACCCTGTTAACTCTTTTCATAATTTAAGCTAAAACTCAAAACACTTTCTTCTATCAAGTACCTTCTTCCTTCTGAAGGCTTCTTTAGGGGAGGCTGAAGTACCACAGTCTTTACCATCCCACTTTCCCAAGTGTTGGCATTTACTTCTTTAACACCTACAACAGTGAGTCATTTATCTGCTACCCCATTACCCCACACACTACTTGAAGGCAAGATTATGTCTTTCTTCGCACTTTTCAATACCTAGCAGACGGCCGGGTTCAGCAAACGTTTGCAGATCAAATGCATTAATGAGGCCACAGAGGTCTCAAAAGACCACCTACTGCCCTCTAAAAGGATTAGGGAGGTCCCACTGCCAGAGAAACTTCTTAAAAGCTTGCCTCAGGACGGTTAGGATCCGAAAGGCTTTTTTACTTTCTTCCAGTTTAAAACGCTGTTACTAATATCCCGTCCTTCAAGAAACCTGCACAAATACTAGGTCTCCATGGCAAATACTAAAGTCAAGACCCATCCGGACCCTAACCCACACCTGCTCTGCGAACGCCGGCCCCCCGCCCTCCCCCCCCGCCGGCCCCCCGGCCCCCCGGCCCCCCGGCCCCCCGGCCCCGCGTGCACCAGCTCAGAGGACCGCCCGAGAGCAAGGGCGCATGCGCAGCAAGCACACACGCGGCGAATCTGGGATTTCCTCTGACCAGATGTCATTCAAGACAAGACGGCTCCGCCCTTTTCAACATGGCGCTGCACTCAATGCGGAAAGCGCGTGAGTGCTGGAACTTCATCCGGGCACTTCATCAAGGACCCGACGCTACTCCTGTTCCCCAGGTAACCAATGCTAGCCCTTCTTCCGCCGGTTTCCCATCTCGCTAGGCCCTTCTCAGCCCCCTTTCCTCCCTCCTTTTGCTTCACCCTTCCCGTTTTCTCTGGAGAGTACCGAGCTCTTCCGTTCCTAAGGTTGATTCGCCCTAAGACTGCCTTCCTACTCGGAGCGTGGCGACGTTGCAAAGATACGCGTGACGTAACGCGCCCCTGGTGGGAGGAACGCGCCGCCGCTTGCCCACTTGGCCTTAGTACCCTCCGCTCTGAGCGCCGCACCTCCACTGTTGCCGGGCAACGCGGGAAGCTCTTCCCTGTGTGACGTTGTCAGACACCAGAGAGCTAGTCCCTCCGGCACTGCGCACCTAGTCCTGATGTTGTTGCTGTTTTTACTTTCCTTTCTCTAACAGTAAGCCAAGGGACCTGGCGGAGAAATTGGAGAAGACATCTCATTAGTAGCTAGACTGTTTAAGGTGCACCATTTTGGCATCCTCCCTTTGGCAGTGCGATACTTGAGCAATGTCAGTGTATCTTCCACTCTTGATTTCTCCCCATTGTCCGGAAGCAGACCTGTATCTAGAAGGTTCTATGAAGGAATTTAAGCAAGCTTTCCAAAAGTGTGGTCTTGTCCTGGTAGTACTGCTGTTACCAGGCTCCTCTGTCCATGGGATTCTCCAGGCAAGAATATTGGAGTGGGTTGCCATGCCCTCCTCCAGGGGATCTTCACAACCCAGGAACTGAACCCAAGGCTCCCGCATTGCAGGCGGATTCTTTACCATCTGAGCCACCAAGGAAGTGACAAATCACTTTCTCTCTCTGGACTTACTTCCTTCAGCAAAATGGCTGGAGGAAGGGTTAGACTGATGGCAGTGTTACTTCAAGCTTTGAAAAATGAGTGGCTCCACGATAATGAAGCCAAAGTAAAGCATTGATATTAATTATCAAAACCCAGATATAAATTCAACTTGGTTTTCTAATCGTCCCATAATTACTTAACTTTCTGTACTTAAGTGTTCTTCATAGATATTGGCCTAACCAGATTCTTATAGGAATAGAGAATATTACGCTGGAAAGTTATTTATCAAAACAGTTATTTAAATGTGGTTTTGAATTGTGGGTGGCATAGTTAGGTAAGAATTGATTGAGAATTAGATATATACAGCAAATATCCTCCACTTTGAAGTTTGGAGATTTGATTCTGTAGTACCAGAATTGGTTGATTACTGGGAATTCTTGGCGGTCCAATGGTTAGGACTCTGAGGTTTCACTGCTGAGGGTGTGAACTCAATCCCTGGTGGGAGAACTAAGATCCCACAAGCTGAGGGTGGGGGGAGATTTGGTTGATTGCTATAATTATACTATATTTCTAGCTAATAGCATAATAAAACCTGTGAATCCAAAGTTACTAAATCTTAGGCCCAAACTCCCTCTCATAACAAACTCAAGTTGTGAATGTCATGAGAAACAGAATCAAAGAGAAAAGAAAAACTACAGTCTGCTAACGCTTGTCCCAGGAAGTTTAGGGCATTAAATCAGTATAAACACTAAAGAATAGAATTTGAAATCTCTACTGTTGTTTCAGTGGCATTTATGAATACAGTTATCTTAATCAACTGTTAATCTAGATTGTTTCAAGATGTAGATTCTCCAAAATAGTGTTCTCAAACCTATAATTTAGCTTTTGGTAAATTAAATAAGAAAGAGCACTTCTTAAAGCACAATTCTACATATAAATTTTAAAATTCTTTTTCAGATTCTTTTCCATTATGGCTTATTGCTGGATATTGGATATAGTTCCCTATGCTATACAGTAGGACCGTGTTATCTGTTTTATATATAGTAGTTTGTATTTGCTAATTCCAAACTCCTAATTTATCCCTCCACTGCCTCCTATAATTTTCAGTAATTAAAAATGATGGTTTGAAGGACTAGTGCAGTCTTTTGAAAGTCCAATTGAGAAAAGATATAAAATTATATTCACAGTGTCATTATAATATTATATTTGCAAATAAATATTTATGTAAGTATCTATGTACAGGAAAAAAGACTAGAAGGAAACAACTATTCTTAACTTTTTTTGCTTTCTCTTTGGTCTTCCTAAATAATGGATTAAAAGTGATTTAAGTGTTCTTCTTTAAGCTTTCTGTGTTTTTCACATGTTCTAAATTGAAGAGATACCACTCTCAGACCCAGAAAAAAGTCTTAAAACATAAATCTTCAGATGAATGCATAGCCATTATATCATCTGTGCTATTGTAGATCTCTGAGGGAGAGTTTGTGGGACAGTACTTGCCCCACAGTGCTGTTATTTAAAATGGCCTTAGAAAAGTTATTAAAATGGCTTTAGCAAATGAAAACTTTATGGCCGTTTTTCTTGTATGTATCTTCTTTTTCACTTGAAAAGCTTCCTTTGAAGTCAAAGAGATTTTGTGAACAGATGCAGAAATATGTGAAGGAAGAACTGAATTCTTAAACCAGATGCATTAGACACTTTTATGATATCTCATAACCTTTGTAGAAAACAAAAATTATTTTGCAGGGCTATAATGTAATGGAAAGAAATGTATATTTATCACATGAACGATTCTATCAACAAGTAAGAAATAGCGATTTGCTTCTTATTAGTTTTGGCTGTACAGTTACTTCCTGAGGTGAGGAGCAAAAGTGGATGGACCGCGGCAGTGCATTGCCAGAGTACTGAGAGTCATAGGTTGTTTTAATGATTTCCTATGAAAGCAAAATCTTGGTTAATAACCTTGGCATTGGGGACCTTTAGTTATCTCAAGAGGAGGCTTTTGCCCTTCAAGGCTAAATGTAGAATCAAGTTTAAAATGAAAGCTAGAGAGAAAACAGAAATAATGGTATATCAACCCTTACTCATTAGGAATGTCTACAATTTATATGAAAGCGGTTTATTTTGCCAGGTGTTACCTGAAAGAAAACCATTGAAATCTGACAAGAATGAGAGTAGTCACAGAGTCAGAGGAATGGAGATCTGACATTTTATGCTTAGACACTGATGGCATTTGGTAAATTTAAGCCTGTCATCCTTGACCAAACCCAGAATCCACACTTATTTAAGCACTAACTTATGATTGTATTGTGCAAACAGTGAAAAATTGATGGTTAGTAGACTTTTGCAAAAATATTTGTGATCATTCAGGTGAAGTATAAAATGTCCACATTTTATCACTGTTGAACAACACGCTTCTTATTAGCTGTCCCATCCTGGGTTTGGCCAGTATTAACATACTGTTTCTACTGTTTATGGTCACTAAATGTGACCTATGGTTAGTCAATGAAGAAGTCATGCCTGCAGAAAAATAGGCAATGTATTAGATTTCTGATCTTGTGTTTAGTTCTTACAGCAAGCCTTTTTTAAAAATTGCTCTTTTTTTAAAAGCATTAAAAAAAATCATTTGGGATAAAGAGTCGCAAAAATAGTACATTCCTGTATATGCTTCACCAAGCAGCTTCATCTTGCATAATATACTTACCAAAGCCAAGAAATTAACATGGGACAATTTCACATTTCACCGATTTTTCCACTAGTCACCTGGTTTAGGATCAAATCTGGGATCCCATATTGCATTTAGTTGTCATGTCTGCCCCCAACCTATGACACTTCCTCAGTCTTTCATGACCTTGGCCTTTTTGAAGAGAATTGGTTATTTATTTTATAGAATGTCTCGGTTTGGGTTTGTCTGATAGTTTTCTCATGATTATACTGAGGTTATGGATTTTGGCAAGAATCCTCTAGAATACTTTATAACAAGGCTTTAAGATAGGTATTAACACCTTATTTTAAGCATCCAAAGTAGACTTTAGTTAAGTAACTTGCCTAATGTCACAAAGCTAATTAACTATGAATTAGGATGGTAAAATTGACTGTTGGCATTTCATTCTGTATTTTGCAATTAGTATTTGTTGTTAGAGATTTCTGTGATCTTAATGGCATTAAATTGGGATAGTATTCCCAGTGACTCTTTCCTTTAGCTTTTCTCTGCCTTGCATTGTCTGTCCAACTGGCAACATGAACTAATCAGCCTGGAAAGCTGTCAGGACTGCTACAACCCTCTGGAAATTGTACTAGCTGCTCACTGTGCCAGTTTGATTTGGCTACCTCATCTCTGTGCTTCTCTTAAATAAGGATGTTTCGTGGATCCACCCTAAAGCTCCTTTTAAGCTCAGTCTATGAGTTCATTTGTTTAAAATGCTTTTTAGGTTAATTTTCCATGTGAACTGACTTAGCTTATTCAAAACAATAGTATTTAAAAATCTTTGAAAATTTCTTTGTGTAGCTGGTGAAAACTGAGGGTAACTGCTGAAAATACAGAGGAGAAAGGGTGAATCAATGCTGAGCATTTATACTAGTGGCCACAGTCAGGGAATGCTGAAGAGGGTGAGGCTGCTGACTGCCAGAATCTTTCTCAGTATACCTATTGCATGTCTACAGGTTATAGAATTGTCTGTGGAAGCTTATGCAAATGTGTGTGTGTGTGTGTGTGTGAGCACATGCATGCTAAGTTGCTTCAGTGGTGTTCAACTCTTTGCAGCCCAATGGATCGTATTCTGTCAGGCTCCTCTGTCCATTGGATTCTCCAGGCAAGAGTACTGGAATGGGTTGCCATGCCCTCCTCCAGGGGATCTTCTCAACCCAGGGATCGAACCTGCATCTTTTACATCTCCTGCATTGGCAGGCAGGTTCTTTACCACTAACACCAACTGGGAAGTCTCTTTCTGTATATATCTATATACACACACACATATATAATGTATCTATTTGTATATTTAAGCATATATGTATGCATAGCCTTCTGTTTTTCAGAGAGGGAACTAACATTTAGCTAAGGCTTGTTATGTGCTAAGCCTTCTTGCTATGTACTATACAGCTTTATCTTATTTACTTCTCACAAAAATCCTGTAAATATTTTTCTATTCATTTTATAAAACTGGAAACTAAGGTTTGAAGAGGTTAGGAAATATTCCCATCAGAGAGCTGGTAAATG